TTCCCCTAACATCAGAGAGTAAAATATTAAATAAGGGGAAAAAATTTTTGGAATAATTATTGTTGCTTTTTGGAGTATGGTTGGGAAGGGAAGTAGAAAAATAAGAAAATACATGTTAGCTTAATTAAGCACTCGAATAAATAGTACTTTCATGTTATTTAGAATTTAAATTAATACTAATATGTGAAAATTATATTTTGATACATTTTCTTACTTGCCATCAAGCTTCAAAATTTTCATGAAAATTCAGATTTATAAGAAAAAGTTAATTTCAGATGACATTATGGAAGGATTCATAATAGCTCCCTGCCCATGGCGGCACAGAATCAATTAATTTTCCTGGGTCTTGGGTTCCTCATCAATAAATATTGAACTAAGCAGTTTCTAAATAACCCTCTCACCCTAAATTCCATGATTCTATGTATTTGGAATGAAATGATTCATTGCTCTGTAGGTCATATCTCTCTCTCAGGAATGCAAGGAGTTAACAGAAAAAAAAATCTCAAGATATAAATAAGGACTTTTTGTGAACTGCCAATAATCTATTATTCACTTGAAAATAACCCCACAAGTAGTTTATTGATGTAGTTCTTTCTATAAGAGTTTCAATTTAAGAGAAATCACATACACACAAAAAAAGAGGAAATCACTATTCTATCTGTATGTATGTAGTATGGCAGGGCTGGGAGAAAACTTTCAAAAACTTTCCTCAACATTTAAGAGTAAGGACACCAAGTTTGGAAGATTGGAAAAATCTGGACTTCGAATCACAGAGGAAAAAATTTCAGTTTAGTCAAGTATGAGGTTATGTTTAATGTGGTTACTTATTTCCTCTGCTGCTTTGTAATGCAGTTGTAAATGCTGAATTTTGATGAAACTGCTCATTCACTGATTGGTAATGATGCTAATACAGTTTGAAGATTACATCTAGTTGTTTCATGACCCAGTTCCACTGTTTTAGACCCAGAATAAAGGTAGCACAATGCAGTAAAAGAATACCAGATAAAGCCAGGGAGACCTGGATTACGGCTAGACTCTATGACCTCGGACCTTCTGCGTCTCAGTTTCCTCTTTTGTAAGATGAGAATATTGAATTGCTTAGGTCTTTTCCTCCTTTAAGATTCTATGGTTCTATGAATGAGCTGGCCAACAATTCTTCTAATTGCCTATCAAGATTCTAATTCATCCCTGCTTCTAATTCTAATAGAATTGATTTACAAATGGAATTTCTTGTTTTCACCTTAATAATGACAATAACGACAGCAAACCATCATCTTCTACCCCTTCTGGCTTTTGAGTGTCCCATTCTCAAATACAGGAGCCAAATCAAGAAACATGAAGAAAGGCTCACAAATAGAAAGGATAGAGAATCAAAAAGAAGCTCAAGCACAGATTTTCACACCCAGGGATAAGGAAGGGGAATAGGTATATTAATGAAGATTCTTTATTGCAGGTAGCATTAACCTAACTCAAACAAATGTAGGCAGATTAAGGGAATTTATTAACCCTCATAAATAGAAGGTTCAGAAGATCCATCTGGTTTCAGGTACACCTGGATCAAGGATCATAAATGGCAACATCAGGACTCTGTCTCAGTTCCTTCTTCAACAGGGAGTTTTTCAACTGGTTCTTTCTAGATCACCAATAAGATGGTGGCTGAAAGCTGAAAACTCAAAATCTATATAAGCTTAATAACCAAGAGAGAGAAACATGTTTTGTTTTATTTCCCAAATATCTCCAGGAGAAAGTCCCAGGAAAGAATAATCTATTGATCAGACTTGATCATGTACCCATCCCTATACCAATGAGTACGGCCTATGGGATGGGTTCTCTGATTTATGGGAGCAGTGTGGGTGATGTTTCCACTTCTATAGCTGGAGTAGGGGGTACAGTCAGGCCTATGAAACCCATATGGAATGGGCTGCTCATAGGAAAGAAGGGTTTTGTGTTCTGAAAAGGTGGGGACACAGTGCTAGAAAGATCACAAACAGAAGGCCACTACAATAGATCTCCTTTGACGTTGCACATCAAGCATAGATGGTAGCTATCTGGAATGATGAGATCTAATAAAAAGGATTCGGAGCTATGTGAAGGCTCACTAAGAATGAGTATGAAGATTGATTAGCAATGTGTGCAGTGGACACTGTAGTGGACAATAGAGATATGCAAACCATATAGTTGCTATCCCTTCCTAGTGTGAAATCATGATTTAGTTCCTACTAAGTACGGTCAATTCAACCACGAACCCTTTAGAATATCACAGGGATAGGCCCTTCTTTTGAAAATTTCCATGTATTCCTGCTTATAAAGCTACCTAAATTCTTAGAGATGGGAACCCCTCCATGATGGAAATTTTTACATTTTATTTGAAGTCATGTTGGCCTTTAGGACACAAAAAATGATCCTAGCTATCAAGGGTTTTTAATAAAGAATGTGTATCAGAATCACGTAGGCAGTTATTTTTAAATATATATGTCTAGCCTCTATCCCCAAACTTTCTGGTCCAATAGGTCTTGGTAAGATCCTAGAATAGTGAAATATGACTATTATATATGAAAGTTATACAGGCTCATAGAAAAAACAAACAAAACAGGACAGAGAGATACAACATGAAAAATAGAAAGTCCCCTCCCTCTCAAGGAGGGATTTAGGTGGGGAATGGGGAAAGACGAAATTCTCTTTCATCGTATATAAATGTCTATATTGTTTGAAATGCTTTTTTACAACAAGCCTGAATCAGTTTTGTATTTTATAAGCTTGATAATCTAAAACACTTATCTCAATCAGAAACTACAATGTCCATGCCAGCCAAATTGTCTTCACTGAGACTATTCTAGTTGTAGGTAACAAAAACAGCATAAAATACTTTTAAAAGTTCTTTTTGAGACAATACCCTTTTCTTACTCCCCTGAGGTAATCCTGTGGACAGTTTATAGAAAGAATATATAAACATATACATATAAGTATACATATATAAGTAAATATACATATAAGTATATATACATATAAGTATATATCTATATCCCACCTGACGATTATAAGTATATATCTATATCATAAGTATATCTAAGTATACTTACAAGCATACATATAGGTATATATCTATACATATAAATATATATCTATATCATAAAGGAGTCACAAACCCATAAGTATATGCATATCTCTCCTTTTATTATTATTGTAAACATGATAGAATTATGCTATCATGCATATTCTGTTCCTACAATTTGATTTATTTACTTAATTATTTTGGCCTCTTTCTCACAAGATCTACCTATACAAAATCTGCCTCCTTTTAGTGACTTCATAATATTCCAAGTTTTTCCCCATATACTAATATGCTTCAGCACACATTCTTTTAAATATATATCTGGGGATGCCTGGGTGGCTCAGTCGGTTGAGCGGCTGCCTTCGGCTCAGGTCATGATCCCAGGGTCCTGGGATCGAGTCCCACATCGGGCTCCTTGCTCGGTGGGGAGCCTGCTTCTTCCTCTGCCTGCCTCTCCCCCTGCTTGTGTTCTGTCTCTCTGACAAATAAATAAATTAAATAAATAAATATATATATATATATATCTGGGCAGCTATGCAAGTACAGCTATGGAATATATTCCTACTTAAGGCATATTAGTATATATATATATATTTAAATGATGAACACTATTGAATTGCCCTCCAAGAAATCACACCAATTTAGAGACCCACCCAAACTATATGACAATATCTGTCTTCCCTACTCTCAGATGGCAAGTCAAAGCTTCCCAGATTACCTTGAAATATATCGCTGATTAAGAACCACTGTGCTTGAAGGCTGTTACTTAAAAAAAAAAAAAAAAAAAAACCTGTAATTTGTTTTTAGAATTGTTTTAAATCTTAAGACACTTCTTGTAATAAGAAGTCATACGTAGAATGACTAAGTTCTAGGAATCATATCCATCTGGATCTCTTTATACACTATAACTGGTATTAAAAGCTAGGGGCCTGTGAGACTTTGGATGAAGATTGCAAGACCTTGCTTGTGTCACCTGCATCAGGATTTCTGGCCATAGAAGCCACACAGAGATGCAATTTAGTGACTGCAAGATGAATCTTTTCTGTCCATCTGGACTTTTCTCTGGCCTGGGAGCCACAGTGTGATTCTGACTGCTCAGTGATGGCACAGGCAAGGCTGAGCACACTCAGAGGAACAAAGCATCTAGAACTTTCTTGAAAGCAATTTCCACAAGAATAAAGCACAGCTCTAGGAATTTTAGACACACATGCACACATGTGCACACACACATACACACACACCCCACACAAAAACCTTATGTGGAGAGACACAATGTTGTATATTCTTAATCTTGCTGAGATTTAGCAATTGATGAGGGAAAGTGGGAACTTTCTCAAGGTTGCGTTAGGGTACCTGAACTATATTTATGGCATTGAATCGGTCAACTACTAATCTATGGGACTAAAGAAAGAGAGTATGATAAATAAAGTGCCCAGATAATCTTTTTTTAAAGATTTTATTTATTTATTTGACAGAGAGACACAGCAAGAGAGGGAACACAAGCAGGGGGAGTGGGAGAGGGAGAAGCAGGCTTCCCGCTGAGCAGGGAGCCTGATGCGGGGCTCAATCCCAGGACCCTGAGATCATGACCTGAGCTGAAGGCAGATGCTTAACGACTGAGCCACCAGGCACCCCAGTACCCAGATGATCTTAAGCACTTATTTCAGTCAGTAACTAGAATGCCCATCCCAACCAAATGGTGTTCACTGAGGCTGTTTAGGTGGCTGGTGACAAAAGAACAGTCTAAGCTAGCTTAACACGCAAAGAAAACAAGATGTGGGTAAATGACTATTAGGATACAGAGTTTCTCACAAACACCTAAGGCAGAAATTTTGAAAGGGACTAGAACCAAGACTTGAGAAGCTCCACTGTGTCCTAAGCAGTATGTGCCTCCACCTCTCACCTCTTCCTCGCTTACCCTTTTTTATCTCCTCTGTTCTTTCTGCAGGGCAGCACTCCATGCCTTTTCCAACCCTTGTGGTGAGACAGACACTTCACTGCTCTTGAACTTCCATCAACTCAGTTCCAATGACATGCTCTATCTACTGGGCTATCTCAGAGTCTAATTTTCAAATTCCCCGAGAGAATCCAACTGGCCCAGCTTGGCTCAGGTGTCCATTCAACCTTGGCCAGAGAAGGTGGGTTTGTGTAACAACAGAATAGCAGCTGAAGTTTATTGGGTGCTAACTACACTTTATAAGCTTTACCTTTATATAGCCTTCAGAGCCCTCCTTTATCAGGACCTTGGAACAGTTTTCAGAAAAAGAGGATAATTGTGAGTTGTGTGGATGTCCTAAAAGATGTCTGTGACTCAAATCTTTCCCTCAGAGCCTGCGAAAATTCTGTGCAGAGAGAAAAACATGCACATGAAAATCTAACTTGAGCCTTAAAACTCAGTCCAGTAATGCTGCAACGGGCCTAAGTGCAGGACTTCAAGGGTCTAAAATAACTGAGTTCCAATTCTAACTCCAAGTTTACTAGCTGTGTAGCTTGGACGAGTCCCTCTACCTCTCTGCTCAATTCCCTTTTCTTTCTGTGAAATTGTGAAAATAACACATACTGCATGACACAGCGTGCACGAAGTGACTTGAGTACTGTTACCCATGAAGCACTTAAAACAGTAACAAGTATTTATGCATGCTTCCTCTGTGACAAGGTAATGTCCAAAAGAGACGCACACCAACAGGAAGGGAAAGATGGAGAAGCAAAACGTCTGCTTGCCCTAATGAGCATTATCATTATATATAATATCATTATGTAGTAACGAGAGATAATAGTTATCAATTATTGTGTATACTGTGATGGGAAATTTTCTCAGTGCTTTACATATATTTATGTATATTAGCTGAGTTACTATTATTGCCTCATTTGGAGGCACAGAGAATTTAAGTAACTTGTCCTAGGTTACACAGCTAGTAAGCTGTAGAAGGAGGACTTGGGACTAGAAGGTCTGGCTCCAGAGCTCACATCTTAAACACTACTCTGTACGGCCTTCAGCCCAACTGTATCATAGGCTATCCTGCCACATGTGTTCCTGAACCAGAGAGGTGTCTGTGGATATACCAGCACAGAGAGAAGACAGTTTACCTTCAAGTTTTCAAACTTGCTAGAATCCCCTCTTGTTTATTCCACATGCCCTCTTTAATGAGGTTACCTCATCAGAATTAATGGATTGTTACTCTTCTTGATCGGTGGTGTAAACTGTAAACTCTGAGATAGTCTGCCTACCACACTTAGTTTTAGCTTTGGAAGGTTTACTTGCAAAAGCTCTTAGAAGCACCCATGAATAAACAAGAGCGAAAAGTTATACTAAGGATAGACATTTTTGTTTGCACTTTTTTCCAAATCTATCCAAACAACTGGATTCAAAAGCTTTCTCTGACACCATAGGCAAATGCTTCTTCCCCAGGCACAGACAGCCTGTCAGAGACAACACAGACCCACTGCTGTGGTTATTGCCGAAATTTATAAGTGATGCAAGGTTTTATTTTTGCCAGGTTCTACCTTAAAAGAGTCCCAGAGAGCAAGACACTGGTAAGTGGTAGTGAAGGCTGATGACTTCTAAAAGAATTAGAGGACATACATGTAGCAGATGCCATTGGTCAGGTGGCCCAACTCCCACTCTCAAACCCACCTCTTTGGTAGAGGCTAGAAAAGCCAAATATTTGCTTTCCTGCTCTTCAGCTAGGGTTGGCTATGTGAAACAGTTTTAGCTCCAATGAGGTATAAGTGGAATTCTTCAGGGGCTTCTGGCAAATCTTTGCTTTCTTGATACAAAGGATAGATGTCACTAGCACCACCCTTCTGCCACTGCCTTCTTCTGGCCTTTGCTACAGACTAGCACCTAGAGCTACGGCAGCCATCTTGCAATCACAAGAGATGGGCCCACAGAATTGAAGAAATACTAGCTCTGGTGTTTTTTTGTTCTGTTTTGTTTTTGAGCTATTAGCAACCACCAACAGCAACCTCCAGGATGCCGGTTATATTAGTAAAATAGTTTGAGTCACTCTTAGTAAGGGTTTCTATGGATGCCAAAAGCATTCTCATTGATACACTATGACAATAAGATATTTTAGCCCATTTATTGCCTTTTAATTTACACCTATCCATCTATTCCTCAGAAATCCCCCAGAAGTTGGGTTAAAGAGCATTACTTAATCAAATCACTGAAATGATTCATGGGGCACAGATAATCAAAATGATTTCTCTTTATAGTTTATCCCCTAATCATAATAACTACTTTAAGACCAGTATCATATTGTTAATAGTATGGTGGTATAGTGTGTTATTAACCAAACTTATTGTTAATCAGTCTAATACACACATGGAGTCCAAAAAAATGTATAAAACCATTTTTTACTCTTGGCTTCAGTTACATATTTCAACTTTATAGAGTTCACCGTCAAGAGAAATGGCTGTAGTCATTTGTTCTACCTCACCCTTCTTCAGCTCTCAAATAGAGCCTCCCAAATGTGCCCTAAAGATCACCCATGTGGCCACCCCCTCATAGGCACTAGGAAATCAAGCTTCTCCTTCTTGGACACTCTTCTCTCCTCCCCCACACCTAGAGATGGGCATAGGGATGCATGGGAGCAGAATGAGCCCCATTAACTAATACCACTGAGTACATAACAGGCACTCAAATGCTTACTAAATGAATAAATTAAAAAGGAGTATCCACCTTAAGTAGGTGTTTCCAGAGAGGCCTTTTAGAAGGTGTGGTCTGCCTTAGTCAGTTTGGGTGACTACAACAAAATACCATAAACGAGAGGCTTATAAAGAACAGAAATTGTTTTTCCCAGTCTGGAGACTGGGAAGTCCAAGATCATGGCACTGGCAGATCCAGTGTCTGGATCTCATGGACCATTGCCTTCTCACTGTACAAAAGGGACAAGGGAGCTCTCTGGGGCCTCTTTTATAAGGGCACGAATCCCATTCATGAAGGCTCTATTTTCATGACCTAATCACCTCCCAAAGGGGATCCCTCCCAAAGGTTCACCTTGGGGATTTGGATTTTAACATATGGATTTCGAGAGGACACAAACATTCAGTCCAAGCATGGTCTAAGCAGACTTAAGCATCATTTGTGACTCGGCCAAGTGGAGAAGTGATAGGGAGAGCAAGCCAGAAAGAACCCACAGCATGAAATGAGGTGCTTTACAAGAATACAAGAGTGGTGCCCTGGGAGAAGTAGAAATAATTTCATGCTGCAGAAGTGTGGAGTGTGAAGCAGAGAAGTTGGCAGGGATTGAATCAGCATGGCTCTTGGCGATGGAGAAATGTTTGAAGGGTTTTTAAGAAGGAAATAAGCATTGCTTTGGATTTCAGAAAAATCACTTTGGGGACAGTTAGGGGGTGAATTCAAAACAAGAGACTAGATTCAAGGAAGAGAGGCTTATTACGAGTTCCTGGAGAAATAAGAGGCCATGAGGTTCAAACGAGTTAATCCATTTGCAAATATACTAAGCACAAATTTCAACATTTCAAAGTACTCCACTGTGTTGAATTCAAGTCAACCACGTGCTGAGTTGTGTACCAGCCAGACAGTGTAAAGAAAGGCTAACCCTAAGACCCTCATACTCTCACTGAAATGGAGGTGGCAACAAAGATTAGGCTACCTGCCTGGTGTTGAGGGGAGGGCACTTGGCACTTGCCCAACTGTTCATCCCTTACAGTTCTGACAATCACTGTGTAGCCCCAAAGGTGAGAGCCATAATCAAGGTCATACGGTGACCAGCTTAAAATAGTCTCTGGCTCCTCCTGGACCCAATTTCATGCCCTAAATTCCAGATGACAAAACCTGCTGCATAAAAATAGTTCAATTAAAATCTAAAATAAAACGGTCACTTGTTCTTAAAAACAAAGCAAGCACAGTTTTTCAGCAAAATGTCATGAACCTGGATAAAACTGTAATTTGGGAAGTTGTAAAAATATGGCTACAGCATCCCGCTGGCCAACGCCTGTCACATGACCATGAATGTCGGGCACCGCCCTGGGGCTCCACCTTGCCTGGTTCGTGCGAGGCTATGTGAGGGTGAAGCTGGAGTGGGAGGTCAGCTACACAAGATGGTCCATTTAACAGCTGATCTGCTGGGACTGGTGCCTAAGAAGCTAATTTCTAGCTTTGAGATGGTTTCTGGTAATTGTAGGTAATTTAAAATATAATTTCAATTTAGTTGGAAAAAAAACTCTGTTTGCAGTGTTTATGCTCATCACTCTAATTTAAGGTCTAGAATGTGGGATGGACTGCGTTTCAATACACGCCCATTTTGCATCTTCCTGATTTTACCACCAGTGATTATAAAAACAGCCTCAGCAAACCTCAGTCTGCATTGCAAGACAGATGCTGCAAAGCTCAGATATAAAGTTTCACATTACTGGAAGGTTAACTGTTGTGCATGTAAATGATTATCAGATAGATGAAGAAAACCACAAGGCTCCAAAATGCAAAAGCCCTCAAAAAAATCCAGCTTGCCCATGTTTATAATAAGGCCACTTTATTATTTTTTTTTCAAAGAAGGATGACTATGGCTGAGCTCAGTGTGGTCTGCATGCAAGCTTAATGGAGGAATAATTACACAAGGCTGCTTGTGAGTGGGCCAAGAGAGCTTCCCTCTGGGTTGTGTGTTACAAACTGCTCCACACTGAGCCCCGACCATCTACAACTTTGCAAGGTTCAGAGATTTCTTACCACAGCAAGATCGAGTGCTTTAAATGTACGGGTTTGGGGTGCCTGGGTGGCTTAGTCTGTTAAGCGTCTGCCTTCGGCTCAGGTCATGATCCCAGGATCCTGGGATCTAGTTCCACACTGGGCTCCTCGCTCAGCGGGGAGCCTGCTTCTCCCTCTGCCACTCCCCCTGCTTGTGATCTCTCTCTCTCTGTGTCAAATAAATGAATAAAAGTCTAAAATAAATAAATGTACAGGTTTATTTTAAGTGAAGAAGAAATTTAAGGATATATTGTATGTGGTTTTATAGAGATTTTTAAAAAATTGTCTAAAATGTGAATAGGAGAGCTACTCAATGCCAGGCACTGTGGCAATTATTTATTTATTTATTTATTTATTTATTTATTTATTTATTTATTTAAGATTTTATTTATTTATTTAGAAAGAGACAGAGCAAGAGAGGGAACACAAGCAGGGGGAGTGGGAGAGGGAGAAGTAGGCTTCTCCCATAGCAGGGAACCTGATGCGGGGCTCGATCCCAGGACCCCGGGATCATGACCTGAGCCGAAGGCAGACGTGTAAGGACTGAGTGTGGCAATTATTTAGAATCCAAAGAACTATCATGAGCCAAATGTGCCAGTGTTGCTCACCTAGGGCACATGCAGCCAAATAACTAAGAAAATAGCTGAAATGAGCACTTGATCTAATAACTTTACACACAGTCTCCCATCTACCAGCTTGCCAAACTCTCTAGAATAAAGCTCAGGGCAGATGACAATGACACTGTGTTAACACTGGCTTTGGAAATCACACTCTGAGTCTGAAAACTGAGGGTCAGGGGTCAGAATTTGCTTGTTGCTAGTATCCAAAACCTGCCTTCAAAAACAGACCCAAACTAATGTCACCAAGCAATCACCAAGCAATACCATTTAGATCATGAAGATTGCCAAGAAAGCTTTCAAATGGAGCTTAAAAGTTTAACGACTGGGAAAACAAAATGTGTTCTATGGTAGCAGACCCAAATTAATCTGGCTTTGCCAATAATGACTCAGCAAACAAACAAACAAGCTTTTTTTTTTAAAAAAAAAAAAGATAATTAAAAGTTATTACATGTACTTGATTTAAAAACAAAAACAAATTCAAATATTACCAAGGTGAAAATTAAGTTTGTCTTCAACCTCAAACCTTTAGTCCCCCTCAGTCTTCTTCCCTTGAGGTAGCCCCTACTATCAGTTTTCTTGTGTGCTATAGTCTATGTATATCTAAATCTGTGTATTTATGTCACATACACACAGAGGCAGCTCCAGAATTTCTATATAGGAGGGGCTTAGGAGCTGCAATCTGAGTGGATGGGGGTAAACTGCAGAAAGCTACATTTGCCTGGTATTTTACAGAAGAAGGAACATATAAATTTGAGCACCAGTAGAACGAAGCACAACAATGAATTATAAACCACTGGAAAAAATGAGAATTCATGAGTCCATACTAATAACAAATAAATAGTAAATAACAAATAAATGGGGGAGGGGCACCCTGGGCTACAGTGAAATACAATGACTGACGGTGAATGAAGTCGTACTGGAGCTGGAGGACCATTATTTTGCAACTGTGAAAATAAAGATTGGATCAGACAGGACTCATCAATGCACGCTACATCCAGGAGGAAATTTTGATGAGGACCAGGATATTTGTATCATCTTAAAGTGCCTCCCCAGGAACACTTATTAATTGCAAAAGTGTGGGTTGGGGGGAAGAGTAGTTACATAATGGAGAATTTGGACAACACCTTGACCAAGTCATCGAAATTAACATTGCCGGTGAGAATGGACATGATACCTGGAAGGACATAATATCCCCTATGCAGTACTCTGGCCTAGAATACATAATATCAATCTAATCACAAGGAAACATCAAGCAAACCTAAAATGAGGACTATTCTATTTTTAAAAAGTGGGGGCAGGAGTAAAAGAGGAGAGGGATGGTGGTGAGGATTATATTCTTCAAAAATGCTAATGTCGTAAAAGACAAAGGAAGACTACGAAAATGTTCCAGATTAAAGGAGGCTAAGGAGGTATGACAACCAAATGCAATACCAGACCCTAGACCTGATTCTGTACTGGAAGGAAAAAAAATGTTGTAAAAAAGATTATTAAACCAACCAACAGAATTGGAATTCAAACCATAGAGGAGAAGAAAAGCCTGTTGAAGGTTTGATACTGCTGTTTCTATCAAACCCCAGACCCACCAGCACCACCCTCACTTAGAGAGCTCCTTAAAGAGCACTTGAAGCTTCTGCCCACAAAGCTCCTTCTTTGTCCAGGGAACCAGGAGGTGACAAAGCTCCAAGGAAGGGTAGGTTGTTTCTGCAGCAGGAATGAGAGGCCATTTTAAGTTTTGCCTCAGGAACTGGAATTTTATACTATGTCAATGATACAGGCCCAAGATTGAGGATCTCGTAGAAACTGCACCACAAATTCCCTTCTGGTCCCCTCAGACCAGCTTGTGCTAAGCTCACTTAAAACTTCCTCTTACCTTAGGTTCATTTAAAAGTCAAACAAATTCCATTTAAGAATAGTGTATGGCAACTGTGGCTAATAATTGCTTGGGAAATAAAAATGAATGAATGAATGAATGAATGAATGAATGAATGAATGAATGAATGCAGAAATAAACAATGAAGGCATGTGAGGAACGCTCTGATAATGAAGACTGCTTGCATGACTTACGTAGAGAAAACAAAAAGAAAGTATGTTTTCCTGTGAGCTGTGTAAGTAATGTAGTCATTTCCCTGTATTTGCTTCCAGATGTAAACGCTTCTGTAGTTGAACCAATATTAAGTCTGGGAATACAAAACAGAGTAAAAAGGAGAAAAATTCCTTAAAGGGACACATGGAAACACAATGTGCTCATTGCCAGACTTCTCATAAGGTAGACAAAAATGGGAAATTAAACATAGCGTAAGAAAACTGTAATAACTTTACACTCAAATAAAACCTTGAGATAAATGTGTGTGTGAGGAGTAGGGGGAAGAAACTGACAAGGATTAAGTGAAAAAATAAACATCTGAGCAAAGCAGAATCTGTAATTCACCCTGACAGAGAAAGGAAACTGAATCAAAACTCATCAGGCCCCTGAATGCAAGAAGCCAGGGTGTGGATACGGGGCTGCTGGTGCTAGGTGAGCATCCGTGACCAGGTTTCTCTTGGCTCTAGAGTGGTGGGAGTTAATATAGCCCACTGATTTGGGAGATGTGGAAATTTGCTCCAAAAGCAAGAAAAAGTTCAAGGAATTAATGTTCCTAAAAAAATAAATGAAACAACAACAACAACAACAAAAACAAAAACCAAGCATCTAAAATGTCCGTGCACCTAGAGAAAATCATCCTGCAGTGCTTATTGGCCATACTGAACACCCAGCAACCTTTCCCATTTTTCCACTTCTCCTTCTAATGCAGCACTTTGATTTTGCACTGGAGAAATGATCCTTCCCCCACAGAATGCATTGTGTTGGGTCGGCCAGGTTGTGTACTTCAGGCACCTGGCATGCAGTAGTGGAGATCAAGAGCTGTATCTGTGAATGAATGAATGAATGAATGATCCCAGCCCTCCTCTAGCCAGGCAGTGAGACACTTTTCTCCCTGAGATTGGGTCTTAAGTGACACGTCACAGACTAAGAAAATTCCAGAAGCCAATTCATCCTAACAGAGATGTTCTAACAAGACCATCCGTTTTTGTTTCCTAGACCCTGGGATTCCTGTACCATGATTCCTGTCCTTTCAAAGCCAGGTGCCTAAGCTTTCTGTTTTATTCTAAGAACTGTCATATATCCTTCCAGTAAACTCTCCCTCTGCTTAAGTTATCCAAAGCTCATTTCTGCTGCTTATGAACAAAGAACCATGACAGACACACATTTCCCAGCTTGCCCCTATGGAGTACACCAATTATTATCCCCAAATATGGTCTTGGTAATAAGAAGGTTAGGGGAAGTTTATGGATTTTTCTTTCTGTTTTTGTTTCCATGTGTCTAGTTGATTTCACCAAGTACACTTACAAGCAGGAACCTGAGGACTTGAAATAAAAATTTCAGTTCTTTGCATTCCCCTGCAGGAACTCTTTATTATTGTGTCTAAAAGTATCTGTTGTTCAGTAGATGTTAGTCAGAGTTACATGTATTTGTGTTAAGAAACCACTTATTTCTAGATTAATTTCAGAGGGTGTATTTGCAATTTACCAATTTCCAAAGCCCCACCTACCACAAATTTCCTCTGATTTTCACATCCACTCAGGAATAGCTTGAAGCAAGAACAAGGTATCACTTTTGCTGTTAAAGTTTCAACTTTCCAAGTTTGCCTAGCTATGAAAAGAACAAATTTAAACAAATCCTAGCATCATCCCTTTTCAAAAATACAGTTTAAATACCCAGTTTTATTTAGCAGCCTAGTTATTTTTATTGAAGAGACTAGAGGAAATGGTTATTGCTATCTTGCTTTAAAGTAATTATTTTTTAAGTAATTAAAAAATATCCATTGATCATTTTTATTGTGTTGGCCATGATTTTGATACCTAGTATAGTTCTGAGCACCTAACAGATGTTTAAGAAATAGTAGTCAAATTCATGAACAAATGGATACTTTGTTTTTAATTGTGGGACAATTTTGGTTTGATGCATCACTAAGAGTTGGTTAAAGTATCTATTGCATAGCCATTTTTAAGTCAGTGGACACAAATGTCACAGCAACTGGCTATTTTTGATAGTTCCACAAGCTCTGCAAAAGTTTTAGAGCCCTAAAATGGTCCCATTATAGAAAGAAAGCCTACAGTGCTGCCTGGGATGACCCTGTGGTCAGATTAATACTCTGGAGACCCCCCCACCCCAGGCACTCCACCTTTGCCCTCATATCAAGCTATAAAGTTAGACTTTATCTGAAACCACATCTTATTGGCTCCTTCCCTTCCCCTATCCTGTTTCCCTCATTACCTTATAGATGCTTCCCAAAGAGCAGCCCAATCCCTATCTCAGGCTCTGCTTCTAGTGAACCCAACCTAAGACAGAAAATATGCTGCTATCTAAATGGAAATATTATGCAACAATACCTATAAACTTCCTCACCAATCACCAATGAAATTTGAAAGTTTACTAATGTGTGGATGACTGCAAAGGATATATCATCATTGTACAGAATCAGCACAGATAAATGACAACTATAATTTATTGAGGGCCTTCTATGAAGACATTATATCTCCTTGAATTCTTTTCACAATTTTCTTAGATAGGCATTACCACACATACTTCCAAAATAAAAAAGTTCAGAATCAACAACATCAAATAGCCCATCCAAAGTCAGATAACGACTACATGACAGTTTATTTTTAGCATTTCCTAAAAAGTCTCATAGGTTGATTGTAATGTTCTAAAATACTCTGAAAGAAAATGGCAATGTCCCTCTCACTTTCCATTCTTCAAAAGTTGTGGGATAAAGCCCAAGTGGTCTCTTCAGAAATAACTGATATGTTTTAAGGCTTACTCATGAGATCCAAAGCAGATTTTTTTTCAAAAAACAAAAACGAAAAAACAACTAGTCTTCTCATATCACCTCTTTTGTTAATCATAAAAAATAAACCAACCAACCTCCCAATAGCCAAAAGGAAGGGGTGACGGTTGTTAAAAACAGCATTTTAGTTTTAGAACTTGAAAATGAGAGCAGGTAAAGAGCATGTGACTCACTGTCAACCAGAAATACCAAAAAGCCTTTGTTAGGGAACTGGATGAAGCAATCACAAGCATCTTCACAGGCTGTCAACCTCAGATATCCATCTTCCCTTGAAAAGCTTGTGTGCTCTGTCATCAGTGAGGTTATCTCAACCTTTTCTGAGCCTATTTTTACTTTCAGCCTGGCTTACCTCTTAGGATAATCATCTCCTAAGTTCACTTCCCATCAAGAAAAGCAACACTACACTAATGCAACCCTAAAAAAGCTAAGACAAACATGGTTCAGTCCTCAAATAGGTCAGATTTTAAAAAGGACAGTCTAAAAGGTCAAAACTAATGATGAAAGAAATTCATACGCTAAGTGAAATAAGCC